TGGACAAGCAGTCCCTCACAAAAAAGAAGGAATCTGAGAGAAGGCGGTCAATGAAAGTCACTGGAGGCGGACCGACCATAGACATATTATATAAGTCATGGGAGAACCTGGTGAGTACTTTCTGTTCTAACTGTATAGCTACCGGTAATTTTTATCTTAAAACATCCAGTCAAATCCCAAAATTAAAATAGTCTGATCAGTTTATAGATCTTGGTGATCATTGTAGGTTATAGGGTTCTGTATACCGGTATACTTCTTATAGATTTATGTATTTTCTGCTAATGTTTATTCTATTTTTCTGTTTGCATTTTTCTATTTCCAATGTATGTTCAGTATGATATTGTCTTTGAAGGTGTTGCAGTCCCTATCGGAAGTGGCAATCGAGGGAATCAGCTGTGTAGTTGATACAGCAGAGAGTGGTATGTTATTTAATGTTGATTCTGATCATTTCTTTATATGCAGCAGTTGTATATATGGTAATGGGACGGGGATCTCAATTGATTACAAGTTGTGACCCAGAAACTTAGTCCCTAGGGTTCATAATGGCTAGATTCAGGGTCAATTTCGAATATAATGATTAGTTGATTAGGTTCATTTCTTTATGCAATTGTATATATATTATTATCATGGGTGGAAATCTCAACCATTTAAAAGTTATGACCCAGAGACTTAATATCCATGAGTACAGGGGAATTCCTTGAATTTGAGGAAAGTGGGCCAATTACAGCTATTTTTAATCAATAGGGGTCATTTTATGTAAAATTAAAAGAAACTTGAACCATTGAGGGTCAATTTCAGTTTTCAGTGGTCAATGGCCCTATGGCCCACTCATGGATTATCCTTGTTTGTTGGTAGAATATATTTTAATTTGTTTCTTTATACTCAGCTTTTGTATAGGTGTAGGGTGGGGATCTTACTCTGATTGCGATAACATAAGGCAATCTAATGTTATTTATCATTATAGTTAAAGAATGTTCGTCGACCCTGTGCCAGTCGGCCATTATACCAAGTCTAGTGTCAGATGAACCCTCCTCCACACAAGGTGAGTGGTAAACCATCATATTAAAATAAAGACAACAAGACGCCCAAGGGGCCTGCATCACTGATCTGGTATTACACTCGCAATCAACCTTACAAGTGGAATATAATAAAGCTATAGGCAACATATCAAGTATTTTGACTTAAAATAATTCAAAATAACCTGTTAAATGATTTACACACATTTAACCCTGTAACCTTGAATATGTTTGAAGGTCATTTAATTACAGCATGCTACTGGCATAATATCATCATCCTGGGCCTTATGGTTATTTAGGAAAAGTCGTTATAATTTTTTAACAGATTTTACCTTGAATATAAGTCAAGGTCATTCATTTTAACAAACTTGGTAGCCCTTCATCTCTGCATGATAATGGCCGAATAACATCACCCATCAGACAAAATAAGCTAAAAAATAATCATTAGAATTTTATTTTTTTCAAGATTAAAAATTTGTGCGATTTCATTTAAAAATGATGAAGAAAATGAAGGATATTTCAGTATATTTATTATATTCCAAGTGGTTTAATTGTTCTATTGATAATAATAATCTTTTTCCTTGTACACAGGTAACAATGCAAGCTGCAGCAAGAAATTGAAAAACAAATACAAGTTTGGATATATTCCTATGTGTTGAAAGCAAGTTGACAAATGTTTTAAAATATTACTTTATCATAAATATTATTGTAATATTATTTCAGTGCCAGACACATGTTTCCTCTTCATTAAAAGCAGATGCTATTAATCTTTAATGTAAGCATTCATTCTTCCTGTTACAGATCAGAGCTGAAATAGAAGGAAAATGTTATAGTTAGTAGATTGCCAGTTATGTAGTGGTTATGCATTGTACATTTCAGACGAATGTGAAAAAAATCAACCTCTGCCTTCACAAGTTGAAACAAGCAGCAAACCAAAGGACAGAAAAGAAAGGAGGTGATATGCAGATTGACTCTTGTTGACCAATGTGCCATAATGTTTTTTTTCATACACTTAAATATACCTTTTGATTTATTAAAGTGGTGAAAGAATGTGAATATACGCATTATTCAATTAGTCAATGCGTGATTGCATAAGTTGCAAAAATAAAAAGTTGTACGTTTGTTAATGTATAGAAGTGATGCACCTTTGAATTTTCTTAATAACTAGTAATGTGTTACTGAAATGGAAACCATGTATAGTTTCAGGTACATAAGAAATGTAACTTGAGTTATGTTGATTACTTTTTCAGTTATGTTACAATGTATTGTACTGTATTGAAACTTGAGTCCTTGACTTGTAGGGGTTCACTCAGAAGAGGCAAGTGTTCAAGAACAATTCCTTATGTTTGAAAAAGAGAAAATGGAAAAGATTGAAGAATACAGGGGGATTTTTTTTAAAAAAATGAATGAGATGCTCCAGCTGCAAAGACGAAGAACAGCAGCTATGGGAAAAAAATGCGTCATCCGACTTAGCAGCAGACTCCGAAGCTTCCCTGCCACTCTCATTATCACCAATTATTAAATTGTTATGAAATAAAACTGATAAAGCTGTTTTTGGTCATTTCTTTTGCAACATTTTTTGAATTGGTCTTGATCAGATTTTTGTCATCATATTAATTGATATTTGATCAACATGTATTTTTATATATAGAATGTTCTGATGATGTGCTTTGCAAATAAAGTTTCAAGCTGACAAATTGCCAGATGAGAATTCCGGAGTAAGGAAAATAACTCTTTTTCATTATTGTTGGAAAGATTGACAAACTACTTACATTCAGAATTTTTGTTCAGATCTTCCTCGTATAGCGGAGGCAGTCATGTTGTTGTTGACTGTTGGTACAATGAATTGATCGTTTCCAACCAATCGTGGTTGGTGTAAATTGAGGAATGCCTTAACAATATATACGGTTTCGTGTTTAAACATATAAACCAGGACAGAACCCAAAGCCTTCCTTACAGGGGCGAACGCTCAACAAATGGCCAAAAGTAAGGCATTGTCAAGTGAGACATTAGGAAGAAGAAAATTATTTAGAAAGGAGAGAAGAGATAAGGTCCCAAATTTAGTCACCCGTTTTCCGGAATGCCTACAAAAGTCAGCAAGTGTTCGTGTAATTACTTACATCAGTCAATAATGTGAGGAAAAAATACCTAAAATATCCAGAAAATTGACAGTTCCACAAAATATCAAATTATTAATTACTTTTAGGAGACATAAAACATCGTATTTAATGTTATCCTTTCAGACAAAAATATGTTTTACTAGGTAATTACCAGCCTGTTTAACTAAAAGCTACTGAAAAGCCTGATACTTACCCTCACGGTATGCTCCACTGGGAAATGACTTTTCAAATATTAGAAAAGTGGGTAAAAACTGTTCATCAGCTGAGACACACATAAGCTGTTGAATGTGTTGATGTCACGACAGTTTTGGAGTATGATTGGTGGCCATGCACAGTGTACACTTTGTCGAGTGACATCCCTCTACAAAGCCTGTCTCATCTACGTTATATAAGCATTCCGGTTTGTTGTACAATACTGAAAACACAACAGATATGAAGTTCTTCAGTTGTGTCTGTGATATTCATTTAGGTTTGATAAGTTTCAGCTCAAAATTTGACCACATTTTCAGAAAATATACAATAAAAATTCTCTTGGGAATGGGCCAAAATATATTCGCCCCCATATGCACCAAAAAACACACTGATATTTAACCTTCATGCCTCAGTACTAAATGTTAAACGAGTACCAATGTGTTTCAAAATGATTGTTCAAAATGATTGTAAATATATTCATCAGCATAATAATACTGTTCATTTATTTTATAATTACCCAGTGTGTCCACTGTTGATTTCAGTAGAGCAAAATGTTGCTGCATTACTGTTGTATTAGCCATCGTAGCCCTTCAACCATTAATAACTTGGGGTTTCCTCATAGATAGCTGTGGATGTCGCTTCAGGAATCCTCTGAACCATTTATTTGAGGGGCCATGGTCAAGTTTTGTGCCGTTTCTCTTGTACAGACCTCAATAATACGGTAATACGTGAATAGATTTTCGTGTCCCCAAATAGAAGGCACCAAAGCAAATCCCCTTTACACATGGGGTTCTCTCATTAGTCGCCTCTTACGAGGCATGCACTGATGACCCGACGTGATGAGAGAATTTTGTTTGTTTGTTTGATTTTGTTTAACGTCCTTTTAACAGCTAAGGTCATTTAAGGACTGTGCAAGATGCATGCGTGTAGTATATGTGTGTATATTTTGGGAGGCTGCGATATGTTCGTGTTTGTCTCCTTTTGATAGCGCGGAACTGATGCCGACTTTCTAAACAAATTTCTTCTTCCTTATGTCTGTCTTTACAATACCTCACTTTTGGTCTTTAGTTTAGCGTTCGCCCCTGTGATGAAGGCTTTGGGTTCTGTCCCCTGGCCGAGACATATCAAGAGTATGTAAAAAAGGTAATTTGTACTCCAACTTAACGCTCTGCAATTTAGGAGTGGGACGACTGGTTCGCTCGTTGTCAGTATATTGCGACCGGTTGGGGTGTCCTGCTAAGTGTCTTCGGCAGTATGTTTCAGTGAGGTAGCACAAAAAGTCGGCATCAGTTCCACGCTATCACAAGGAGACAAACACGAACATATCGCAGCCTCCCAATACACACACGCAAACACTACACGCATGCATCTTGCACACAGGGAGGCCGTCCTTAAATGACCATAGCTGTTGATAGGACGTTAAACAATACTAAACCAAACTAACCCAAACCAGTTGAACAATCAAATAGCACTTCATATAAGCATGTTAGTACATGTAGGTACATAGCAACACCATTAGCCTAAGGATAATTCAAAAGAAGCTGTTAAAAGATTTAAACACATTTGTGAAGGACTTTAATTTGCACAATATTGACAGTCCTTTATAACAGCACGGTACAGGCAAAATATCATCATATTGATAATTATTGAGAAGAAGTGTGTAAAGGAAAAGTTGATACTGGATGACACTTGTTACGAATATCAACAATGAGAACAAGAAACTGTTGGATGTTCTAAAGCCGAAAATTCTGAACAGCGTTAGGTATATGAGGAAAAAGCAAAGATCTCCGTAAGTATTTCTGTATAAAAGAAGTCTGCATATTTAAATGATTTTCAATTTCTCATTCTAATAGAAGATATATTGATGAATCGGTGCAGTTTATGGAAAACTAGGAACATTGCATTCATATGAAAAATGGATGATTTTATACACACTATATATTTCTATTTCCTTTTCTTGTGGATTTTGTTATTTTTGATGTCTGCTTCTGTTTTTAGTGATGAATAAAAAGAAATCAGTAATGACATATTGATCACGAAACTAAAGCCAATGAATATAAGAACCAAACGTGAGATTTTTTGGAGACTGTAATACAGATTATTTAGCAGTATGACCATCGAAACAAGATGTATACATTTTAACGCCAGCATTTAAATTGCTCTGATTTTTGTACTTATATCTCCTCATGGTATTTTGTGGTTTGCTTAAACTACTTGGCTGAGTTAACCAAAACAGTAGCAAGTTTGCCTTTTCTGTTCATATGCTTTTGTTGAGCTTTGTTATGAATCCTGGTCTCTACCTTCCATCAAGACAATGAACTGTTCTACTATATTGTTGTAATAACCTCAGCAAACGATCTTCTGTCATGATGAATATAGAGAAGTTGAGATGAGAAGGATAAACTAAAATCAATATGTTTGAATAACTTTGTAACAAACATTACTGATATTTTTCACCTGCCCATTTTGCCCAATATAGTCACTGAATCAAAATTCATTGTTATTGTCTGCGCTGATATTACTTCTCTACTTATATAACTATAAAAATAAAAATAAATCCATAATGATGTTATGCTCTTTTTAGAGACAGAGAAAACAAAAGAATGAAGGCTTCAAATCAGAACCTGCCAACAGACCACATCCAAGAAGAAACGGTTGACAATCATTTAAAGTCCGGGTAAGTATCTTGTTTATTTCTAAATCTGATGTTAACCTTGCATCATAAGGCCAATATAAATACATGTAACAACTTCATTTTCAGAAATTAGAATTAATATATCAAAGTTCACCCTTCTTTTCTCGCCCATGAATGCATATTTTAACACATTTTGAAACAAACTTTCACACCATTTCTTATTTTTCAAATATTTTAAACCCAAAGTAAATAATACATTAAATTCAAGATTAATTTGAATGACATTTTCCAATTGAACACAAAGGGGGGATTTCCTTCCACATGCATATTCCCCCTTTAAGAAACAAAAGCTATTTTAGGGGGAAACAAGAAATATGTCGAACAAGTTTTTAGGACCTTTTTTATTCAATTTTGTCTTTTATATATATCTTAACCAACACAGTATATGGGATGCGTTTTTTTGTTAGCTTTAACACTTTAGACACCCCTTTCCTGCTATTTTAAGAGACACCTGTCAACTGTTTTTGTATCAGACCAGAACAAATGCCAATTAACTTTTAAACAAATAGTAGCGTGGTATAAGAAATCAGGGAAAATTAAGGTGAAAAACAAATTGTGTTGTATTATTTTTTTTAAATAGGTTATTTATGATGCATACTTTAAAATCTGACTGAAATTACCTTTTTTTTTCAAAAGACTTTGTGTTTTTTCTATACATATAGCCAATCGCCTTTGGGTCACATTGCTAAAATTTGATTTTGTTGATAATGGACAAATTGGTTTCAAAGTGTTGATTAAGAGTTTTGGATAAGGTCAATTCATGTAAGCATTTTGCTGTAAAAGTAGGAATTTTTTTGGTGCGTCTTGAAATCAACTATTGAATAACACATTGAATCAACTTTTGAATAAGATCTCCCTTTTATTGCATATTCAAATATTCATATAGATAAATTTAAAATATCTTCTATGCATGATTTTTATGTGAAGCCCTTGTTGCTTGCAGATTTTTTCATTTCTATTTTTTGATTATTTACTTCAGGAATCTAATTTGCCTGAGGAATCACCAAAATGACCCGATAGCGAAAGCCAATGTTGTAGCATTTCCTTGTACTGATGCTGGTGAGTATTTAGATTATATGAATTGCTTTTAGACCTACAATAAATATATAACGATATCAAGGCCGAAATAATGTCTTTAGGATAGTGAAGTAAAAACTTCAATTAAATCGATGTTTTTTTTGTGTACACTGGGGGAGAAAACAATATTCATATGGATGTTTTGAATAATAACAAATGTTTTTAGGGTATTTAATTTGTGTGAAATACAACTGTTTGCCTAAATGCATGTTTTAGGGACCTCAATAACTCGCATGTGCCCACTTTCTGATGGTTCCTTTTTGTGAACTTTTATTTGTCCTCTCCCTCTTACAGATATCAAAGACCAACCCGATATAGATGTAAAGGAATGGGTGTCAGTCATGATTGAAAGTAAGAGGAGGAATTCCACCATCGATTTTCTTCCTTCAAGGAATTCAACAAAAGAATGGAAAGATGAGGGGGTATGTAAATAAGAAAAATAGAGAACTGTTCTTGTGTTTCACAAACATGACTTAATGTGTACCCTGAACGAAACTAGAAATGAATATATTATTATTCTATATGATCCAAAAACAAAAAATGTCGAAAACCGCATAAAAATCGGTCATCCCAACATCGAGATATGGACGTGTAAATTGTACGATTTTCACCTGTCCTTCTTCTACTAATTGGCATAATCGTGTCTCGCGGAGAGTTGGCCTCTATCAATTGTGACGTCAAAAGTTCAACGCTTATTGCGGTCATCATTGAAGCAATAGGCGATATCGAGAACAGCCATGTTCAAACAGCGTCAGATTTCGAATTAATATTTGTTTTAGTTTTGAGGAATCCGATTATGCTGAAGATAACATTATGTAGATTGTATCCAGCCATATAATATTTGCCAGAATTTCCAGAGTTTAATTGAAACTATGTAAAACTGACTGTAGCATTGCGTGACCCTGATTCTTAGCACTGATGAGATTTTTTTTCTTCAAATGAACGAATTTGAGGGAAATTAAAAAGAAATAGTCTCAATGTTGTCGATCAAAGATATTTCTTAATTTTAGCTGGAAAGTCAGTTTGCAATCATTTTCTTTACTCTACACAGAGACGTATATACTTTATATGTCTCTGCTCTACAGTTAGAACTTATCCAAGCATGTTGTCATTGGACAGCACTACATCGTGACCAGTTTCTGTGCCGGAATACTTATGCTGCAAAGTTATATACTGTGGTACATCTACGGTCCAAAAATACGGAAATATATCGTTGAAAGATGTTTACAAAATAACTTACGAGATACGAGTGAGCTTGATAGAACACTGCTCATTGGTCGACCAATTATTGAGCTTCGATGGGTGATTTTCTTGTTGTAAACATGTTTATTATATAGTAATCGTATGTTTATGCAAGTTCATAACAATGTAATTGTCATAATTAGTGCATATGTACTTGTATATACGTGAGCGGTGTGTTGACATACGTACGTGTTATTGCTGTGTGATATATTATCTGTAATATTCTATTTAATTGTAGATATAACTTATGATAGTGTAGACTAGCTTAGTTATTATTATTATTTATATATTTGTAGCTTGTAAACAAGTACAAAATCTCAGTTCGTCCTCGAGGTGAAAGTACGGAAGCCCAGTATGGCCGACGGAGCGACTCTTGAGAATCTACGGATTCCATTAGACACCAGTGTCGTGTCTTGACTCTCATGTTTTGGGGATAGGATTATCTTGAGAGGTTATATATATAATACCTGTTGGTAGAGACTTATCACTCTATTGGAAACCGGGAGTTGATTACGGATACTGCTGTATGGTGACCTGGTAGTGACATGAGGCCATTGGTTATTCCGACCGGAGACTACAGCAGCTGAGATACAGCTCAGCTATACGTCATCAGCCGGATACGGAACATCTCATTGTGGTAGGGAGTCCATATGCATTGTGCTGTCCTGTGTCATCGGATGGATGGAGATTATTTATATGGAACTTTGTAACTCGTTCACCGTTTGGCAAGCTAGAGATTGAAGGATTTAGCTTGTAATATATAGATACTGTAGTATTAAGTGTGTATCATATATAATAGTGTAGGTATAGTATATCAGATACATATAATTAGAATAAGAGGTGTATGAGAGAATGAGCGTGAGAGAGTATTCCAAATTGTATAATGTAAATAAATGTATGTATTGTATGTTATTATTTTTGTTGTCAATTGCAAATGAAATAGTAGTTCGGCATATGTTAACAATCAGAGACGTATATACTTTAATATGGCTTCATATGTCTCTGCTATACATGTAACATAAACAAGTTATAATTTAACATCTTGGTTAAATAATGAAAATTATCTCGATCCGCTTCCTAAGCATTCTTAGGTATGAAATTGGTGTACAGGTAAATAACACTAAACACATGTGTCCAATGCTGACAGCAGGAGGCCCAAGACACACCTTTATACCTGTGTACAGGTGTGACACCAAAGGGATGTATAAGCAGAGACGTATATATTACTATATGGATCAATTTCAAGAAAAATATAAATAAATGAAATGCGTAAGTACTGTCAGAGTCACATTTCAGGGAAACCACAATCAGTACTACTGCATCACTCGACAGATGAAAGTTTGAAACGAGGCAAATAATGCTGGACCATGCTAAGAACATTATATATCTGATCAAGTGGTGTATTGATAAATTACTAATCTTTGTGAGACTTGATCGGACAGGTTCTCCCTCTGCAATATTCTTAGAAGTGGTGTGTATATTTATTATGTGCTAAATACCTTCGATTGCTTAAAGAATAAAAACGTTTCAAGTTTTATGACTGGAAGTAAAAAAAAAAAAAAAGACGGGTTGCTGCTCAATTTGAGTATAAATTAATGTACCGGTGCATTTGTGTCAATTCCAATCGTATATCTACATATTGTAAAGAAAGGGGTGCGGTGCACGTTAATTTGACTCACTTTTTAATCAATTGTTTTTTGTTGTATATAGGTGTTCATCAGATTTTCTAAAGACTAATTTAATAATATAAAGTACATTAATTACAGTCACTAGATAAATAAATTATGTAAAAAAGCACGTTTTCATTTTAGATAGCATCCAACACACCGTTTGCCTCCTCAAGAGAAACTCATTTCATCATTAAAATTGTTAAACAAAAATCGTTTGTATGGGTGGAGTCTTTACATATAATCTACACAAGTAAGTGACGACGGAATATGTCATATAAGTAGCTAAAAGGTAACATATCGAACGCACGATCAAAGCTTCCCGGTATATTCCTATAGGGACAGCGTTGAACGTCACATATGTGGGCTACCCATATCGAGGCGATCGTCGCTGAGCCAAAGGTGTGTTTTTCAGATAAATCACAATATCTCGGAAACAGAGTCAACTACGACGTTCGCACTTTCTTAGTCTTTTACTGTATAATATGAAGTATTTTCATAGCTTGATATAGCAAAACGTTCAGAGTACACTTAAACTGTAATAATTACAAAGTAGGGAAACAAAATTAATAACCGAGTTATGTTAATATTTGATGAATTTCATGCATTATATGAATGATGATGTTCTTAGGATTAAAACATTGATATTTCAAATGTAACTTTGCAGAAACTTAGTAATTTGCTATGTTGTGTTATAATCACCTTATTGATGCTAAGACATAAGAGTCGTATATTTCAAGTATTTATTCATTGCAATAGCTGTAGCAATTCAGTAAACTCAAGTTTTAGTTGCTGTGACATTATAGGATGTTTTTGATAAAGTATGCATTAAGATTTATATCTCTAATACCTGTTGTGGCTTTTACTGCTATTAAAACCTTCAGTTAGAATTAAAATTGACACGGGCAATATGTGGACCTTCATGACATTTGGTTATGTGATATTGGGAAAGTAAATCAGAAAAAAAATGTTTAAAACCAGTTAGGCAATTCTAAGCTTATGTCATTACATTAAATTTCATTTTCAATTTTTAAACCAGGCCAAAAACAATTATTACTTGTGTTTCCACTATCATCCTCTGAAACAATAGAGTAGGTAGGTAGGTAGGGAACACAATATATTTTTTCTTTGGCCGTATAATCATTTTAGAAATCCATAATAATTTTGATTATTTTCGCTTGATTTCATTCTCTCAATTTAATCATTACACACACTTTATTCCTGCTGTACTTATCAATATCATTTTATCAAGTATGTTTATCTGTAAAGATTTTCAAACCTTTTTTCTTCTGATTCCCAATAACAGTATATATAGTAAAGTGATAAATTATGGATTGCATATCTTGTCATCACTCCATAAGAATGAATGAACTTATATATGTACAGGTGTATTAAGAACTTTAGATGAGGCAAGTTCTCTGTTGTCTTCTTTTTAGATGCCTTATTTATACTGATAGCTTGTTGTTCATTGTGTAAGCAAAATGTAATCTCACTTTTAACACATGAATATTATTTTTCTATGATTTTTCAATCATTATCAAAATCATGATTATTTAATTGCAGTGAAACAGTTTAGTATCGTGGTCAATCCACATGACAGATACACTGACTGTCTACGAAGAGGTAAGATAATCCAGTGCAAAAATTGTAACAATCAAACATTTCCATATTATATTGTGAAAACGTTTGGCCGGAATATTTTTATTCAGCCTCGGTATGATAGTTACAATTTTAAGTTGTGTTATGTATAATATAAACTTCAAGTTTTATGGCTTTGTTTTATAGATTGAAATTGAAACTATGTATTGCATTCTTTAGTTTACCAAAACAGTGGTCAAGGAAAAAAAGAAGCAGAGAGGTGCCATAAGGCCTTTTCAACCCCAGCCACCTATGCCCGAGGCAGTTCAACCTCAGCCACCTATGCCCAAGGCAGTTCAACCTCAGCTACCTATGACCGAGGAAGTTCAACCCTCAGAGGTCATTGATGAGCAACACGACGAGGAAGAACACTATACAGAAGACACAGCATGCTCAAAACCTCAGTTAGTTTGAAACTGTTCTGAAGTTGTCCCATACTAAAGTTTGCATGGTTATTATTACTCAAATAAAACCTAGTTTTGAAGATGATCATTATTCTATTGTCGAACCAATCAATTGCTGTTTTATTGGACCCTTGTTTCATCCCATTTTAATTTATCTGATTTGATTTTCAGATTAGATGACTGTGTAGAAGTGGCTTTTCCAGTGAGTTGAAAAAAGAACCAAACACAGCTGTTTTTTGGACAGGTAGGGTTTATTATGTCAGATACCAGACCTTGTGTTCATTATGTGTTTTTTCTCTCATCAAACATCCCGATAGTCACACACTTGTATGGAAAAGGTGACAGCTGCAAGTCTTAGTTATGTACATATACAAATGAAACTATTTTAACATTATTACTTCAACCAGGGTGTCAGCTTTAGCACTGAATAGGAGGTTAAGCAGTGAATATGGTTTATAGAATATTGGTTCTTGTTTTGTATAGGTCAAAAAGCTCTATTCAGGACACATTATAAACCGTAATGCACAAAACAGGATTATTTGTATCCGGCTTTAAAAAGTGCATAATTAAAGTTAGAAAAAAATTAGCATTACGCATCATTTTAACAACCCTGTCAAAAAATGTTAACAGTAGACTGACCCTGTCTCGAGAAATTATTTAGAAATAGAGGTCTCAAGCTGAAGTGCTGTTAGCCAGATGAATTCAATAAGTCTTGACATAGTGAACACTTCAAATTGAAACATGTTGATCCTGTTTCATCATGTATTATTGTCACACATTTTGATTATATGTATTCTCTACACAATATTGCTTATGAGAATAAAACAATTGTCATTGTCATTGATAGTGTTGTTGAAGAAAAAAATGTATATATGTTGGTTTATTTCAGATTGTTAACTTGGATCCGCTGACCGTAAAAGTTCTGCGGAAAACAGACAAACCTGGATTTTTCGTATGGCCGAGAAGAGAAGATGTATCTGAAGTTATGGAGAAGGAGATTCTGAGGGTTTTGGCACTTCCTACATTAGATGGGAGGGAGAAGGAACGATTAGTTTTTAAATGTTGTTAAATTATTATAAGTATCATCATCAATTGATTGGTTTCCGGTAACCCTATAGCTACCTACCCTTATTTTGTGTGCCTACTAAACTTTTTAAGTAAATTTTCAAACAAGCACTGTTTAAGACCAGATGTTACTTACCTATACAAACCATTTTAAAATTATTTGTTAGAATAAAATTTGATGCCTACCTACCCTTAATTTTTCCACCATCTTACAGGAAACATATACATGTTTTTTGTCTGGTCTAAATGGTTCTTACATTTCATAAAGGTAATTAGTTGTCATGTGGTGAACAATTTTGTACATTAATAGGAGACTGTGATTGTTTCTCATAACTTCAGTTTGTGAAGTTTTGTTTCAGTATATGATGATATGTACGTTTACTCGAACCATTAACTATAAACTTTCATTAATTTGAGTTATAGAACAGTTACTGCAGACAATGTCAGCATAATCTAATAATATAGGTCTACTGAAAAGTATATGATTTTTTTTAAGTGTTTCTATCAACTTAACATTTGAACATTCAGAAAATATTCAATCTTGCGTATGCTTTTTTCAAATATTTGATTATTATGATTGTTCCATGTTCCAGATTTATTTAAATTTAGACCTAAGTGCTTATGAGGTTCACTATCAGTTAAAATGTGATTATTAAAAGTGATAGGTGGATGGTGAGCATTTCTTCTCGACATAGAAAGTCCTACTGTTTTGTTGAAGAGCTAAACATTATTTGCCATTCATTAGCTCAATAATTGAATGACTGAGGAGCGTGTCTTTTTCACTATATATTATAAAATGGTATGTAATAAAAACAAAAAAAATATGTATTTGTGGGGACTCTTTTTTGTGCATGTTACGATTTAAAAAAAATAAGTTACCTTTAAGCTAGGGATATCGCTGCAATATTGCTGCAGCCATGGGTGGTCCTGAATTCGGTGTCCATTCTGTAACATCGATGTAATGTGCTGCAAACGTGTCTGATATGCCACGACCCTTCCTCCATGACAATAGTACGTTTGACATTGGAGGCAGTAACATGTGTACACTTTTTGTGAGTCCATGTTGCTATGTGAAAGGTTACAGGACCGACCGCTTTATAAATCAATTGAACACTTGGAAGAAATTTGTTGAATTAAGCTTGAGCCAACGATATTTCAAATGGAACAAAGGTTGGTTCTCCAACCCATTTTCAATTGCTAAATAAACACAAGGCGGTAAGTATTTTGAGGTTTGTACACCCAGATTCAGAGCATTCATTCCATACACTGAGAACATTAGTAAACAAAAAACAATTTCTTTGAAGTTGTGTGATTATATCACTTGACACTTGAAATATAAACAGTTTGATTAAAATATAAAGTATGCGCTTACTATGTGGTAATTGTTTTCATAAGCCGTATTTAGAACCTTCTTATACAAAAAAAAATCATGGTACAAAGACCGAAATAAAGAAAAACTTGATTTGAAAATAGAACGTGATAACACCTGCATACACTTTGAAGTATGTGTGATAGCAGTTAGAAATATAATGAAAAGGTTTGGCTGTTGGACAATGTCTTTCATCAAGGATGTTTTCCAGTTGTTTGTAATGGCGCTTATTATCTGTACTAATATATACACATATCATGTTCTTCATTGAAATATAACATTAATAACAAAATTTCAAAACACATGGCCGAAGTAAATATCAAACACGGAACAGATTTATACAGATCGATCGATTAACACGTATTACAAAACATCAGATTGAAGTATATTACAAACACGGCACAGTTTCAAAGTTTAATTTGACATATAAATCGAGTATGGAACAAACACGTATTTCAAAACAACAGGTCGAAGTAAATTACAAACACCGCATAGTTTTATTCTGACATTAATCCAGTGTTTAAAACATGTATTTCAAAACACCAGGCCAAGTTAATTACAAACACGGCACAGTTGTATTTGACATACAGTTTAAATCGAGTATGTAACAAACAAGTATTACAAAACATCAGGCTGATGCAAATTACAAACACGCCAGTTTTAAAGTTTAAAATGACATAAAAATCGAGTTTGTAACAAACACGTATTTCAAAACACCAGGCCGAAATAAATTATAAACACGGCACAGTTTCAAAGTTTCATTTGACACATAACTCGAGTATGTAACATACACGTATTTTAATCAGCTGAAGTAAATTACAAACACGGCGCAGTTTCAAAGTTCAATTTGACACATAAATCGAGTATGTAACAAACACGTATTTCAATCAACCAGGCTGATGTAAATTACAAACATGACACAGTTCAAAGATTAATTTGACATATAAATCGAGTATGTAACAAGCAAGTATTTTAAAAGACCCGGCCGAAGTAAATTACAAACACGCCATAGTTTTATTCTGACACACATACACTACACGCATGCATCTTGCACCCAGGGGAGGCCGTCCTTAAATGACCTTAGCTGTTAATAGGACGTTAAACAAAATCAAACAAACAAACAAACATTAATCCAGTGTTTAAAACATGTATTTCAAAACACCAGGCCAAATTGATTACAAACACGGCACAGTTTTATCCTGACATTAATCGAGTTTGTAACAAACACGTATTTCAAAACACCAGGCTGATGTAAATAACAAACATGGCAAAGTTCAAAGATTAATTTGACATATAAATCGAGTATGTAACAAACACGTATTTGAAAACACCAGGCCGAAATAAATTATAAACACGGCACCGTTTCAAAGATTAATTTGACATATCAATCGAGCACGTAACAAGCAAGTATTTTAAAACACCCGGCCGAAGTATATTACAAACACGGCACAGTTTTATTTGACATACAGTTTAAATCGAGTTTGTAACAAACAGGTATTTTAAAACACCAGGCCGAAGTAAATTACAAACACGCCAGTTTTAAAGTTTAAAATGACATAAAAATCGAGTTTGTAACAAACACGTATTTCAAAACAACAGGTCGAAGTAAATTACAAACATCGCATAGTTTTATTCTGACATTAATCCAGTGTTTAAAACAAGTATTTCAAAACACCAGGCCAAATTTAATTACAAACACGGCTCAGTTTTATTTGACATACAGTTTAAATCGAGTATGTAACAAACACGTATTTCAAAACAACAGGTCGAAGTAAATTACAAACACCGCATAGTTTTATTCTGACATTAATCCAGTTTTTAAAACATGTATTTCTAAACACCAGGCCAAATTGATTACAAACTCGGCACAGTTTAACCCTGACATTAATCGAGTTTGTAACAAACCCGTATTTCAAAACACCAGGCAAAATTGATTACAAACACGGCGCAGTTTTATCCTGACATTAATCGAGTGTTTAAAAAACGTTTTTCAAAACACCAGGCTGATGTAAATTACAAACATGGCACAGGTCAAAGATTAATTTGACATATCAATCGAGCACGTAACAAGCAAGTATTTTACAACACCCGGCCGAAGTATATTACAAACACGGCACAGTTCGAAAATGTAACAAACACATATTTTAAATCACCATGACGAAGTAAATTACAAATACGTTAATTACAAACACGGCACAGTTTTATTTGACATACAGTTTAAATCGAGTTTGTAACAAACACGTATTTCAAAACACTAGGCTGATGTAAATAACAAACGTGGCAAAGTTCAAAGATTAATTTGGCATATAAATCGAGTATGTAACAAACACGTATTTCAAAAAACATGGCTGAAGTAAATTGCAAACACGGTGCAGTTTCAAAGTTCAATTTGATACATAAATCGAGTATGTAAAAAGCAAGTATTTTAAAACGCCCGGCCGAAGTAAATTACAAACACGCCAGTTTTAAAGTTTAAAATGACATAAAAATCGAGTTTGTAGCAAACACGTATTTCAAAACAACAGGTCGAAGTAAATTACAAACACGCCAGTTTTAAAGTTTAAAATGACATAAAAATCGAGTTTGTAACAAACACGTGTTTCAAAACACCAGGCTGATGCAAATAACAAACATGGCAAAGTTCAACGATTAATTTGACATATAAAGCGAGTATGTAACAAGCAAGTATTTTAAAACACCCGGCCGAAGAAAATTACAAACACGGCACAGTTTTATCCTGCCATTAATCGAGTTTGTAACAACCACGTATTTCAAAACACTAGGCTGATGTAAATAACAAACGTGGCAAAGTTCAAAGATTAACTTGACATATAAATCGAGGATGTAACAAGCAAGTATTTTACAACACCCGGCCGAAGTATATTACAAACACGGCACAGTTTTATTTGACATACAGTTTAAATCGAGTATGTAACAAGCAAGTATTTTAAAACACCCGGCCGAAGTAAATTACAAACACGGCACAGTTCGAAAATGTAACAAACACATATTTTAAATCACCATGCCGAAGTAAATTACAAATACGGCACAGTTTCAAAGTTTGATTTGACATTTAAATCGAATATTTAACAAACCCGTATTTTCAAAACACTAGACAGAAGTAAATTACAAATACGGCACAGTTTTAAAGTTTAACTCGACATATTAATCGTGTATTTAACAACACGTATTTCAAAACACCAGGTCGAAGAAAAGTACATAAACGGCATAGTTTCTTCATATAATATGAGATCAGCAGGTCGAATAAAAGGACAAACACGACAAATTTATTAACATTTATTTTAATTACAAATCAAGTAATAAGCAAACAAATATTTCAACAGACACGGCCGAGGTACAAACAAGGCACAGTTTCAAAGTTTTATTTTGACACATAAATCGAGTGTTTAAAACACGTTTTTCAGTTCATCAGGCCGAATAAAGGTACAAACAGTGTCATTTTAATGTTGTTTTATTCTAATTGTACCAAATTATCACATAAATGAGCACATTACTTGTGTGTATAACAGAAGACACTTACTGCACTCCATACATTCCCATTCGCACTATATAACATTGTACATCAGTATACATAAAAAACATGTTTTTTCCAGTTGTGTCTGACACCATATTAT